AGTATATATATATATATATATATATATATATATATATATATATAGAGAGAGAGAGAGAGAGAGATTCAAAATTTCTAATATTTTAAATATATATGATTTTTTTACTCCAATTTTTTGAGCTTAGTCCGATATAATCGAGATCTTTTTACATGAAGTATTTTTTCCGATCTATATTGTTTACCCGATTTTTTAATCTGACTTTTTAAAATAAAAACGATTAATTTCCAATTTTATAGTGAGCCGATTTATTGGTAATCCCCGACCTCCTAACTATGCTCGAGAGAATAAGCATATAATCCATACCATTTGGAGTATCATACAGGGTTGTGATAATATTCATTCTAAACTTCATGTAAAGATGTTAAAAGGCTTAAAGGTAGCCTGCGTATATGAGTAGGGCTTTATTCTAATTTTCGAACACTAAAAAATATGGTTGGCAATAGGGTTGGGTCGACCCACTTGTTTGGTCGGTCGACCCGAATTGGATCTGGGTTTAGGTCCAGTATGGATCCTATTGGATCGGGTGAGGTTTGGGTCAATCTGACTCAATTTGGCAAATGAAATGTACAATAATATATATACTAAATAATATAAAATATATTTTTAAATTTTTTAATTTCTAGACCGAGACCTAACGCTAGGTTCAAGTCATCACTTGGACCCGACCCAAGTCCAATTCGGGTCTCGATCAGGGTCATCCGCCCAGACCCAGATTATACTCCTGGTAAAGAGAGATCGAAGGAGGGTCGGTTGAGGTTTATGCAAACGCATATGCAAGCACGAAAGAAGCAAAATTCGTAATCACAAGATGTGGGGCTACTTTTTCTTTCCCTATTTGTTACTTGCATAAAAGCAAGTTAACAAGCTTCTAGACTTTAAAAGGGGTGAGAATCTCTCTCTCTTGGCCGGCTTAGTCTATGGCAATGACCCAACAAAAACGACTCAATCCACACAAATGTCCAACGACTACATACAATACGCAAATCCCCAAACCTGTTTCATGTAAAAAAATAAAACAATAATAAACAAAGTAGAAAAAAAAGGACGGATGGTCGGTGTGATTTTGAGGTTAATGTCCTCTCTCGTTAATTTTTATAAGAATGTTAAGCATTAGAATTTACCATTTATTTTAATAAAATTTTATATTGACTCTCTACCAAACACAATCCTATCATATTTATCATATTTACCTGAAAAGTAAAATAGGTTAAGTGAATGTTCAAGGTCATCACCTTCTTAGGCCAATGATTCCTGTACAGAAATTCCGTGTTGTGATTGATAATGTTTATCAACAATGATTCCCTTCTCAAAACTATAAATTCCCTTCCCCCTTCCATAACTCCTCCTAAAAAGCATTGCGATACGAGAGAATCAAACAGCTTCCCTCCTCCTCTAACTACTTAGACTACATCTCCCTCTCTCTCCAAAACTCTCAGCATCTACTCTCTCTCTCTCTCTGGCTTTCGAGCTTGAAGGACTGAGACATTTTCAGTAATTTTTGCAGCATCTTCTACCTAAAACCATGGTGGTTCTCTCGATACCGGTTTTAGACCCTCTTCCCATCATAAAAACCCACAAAGCCATTTCGAAAACCAGCTCTTATACCGATATAATCCCTGTAATTGATCTTTTGGACCCTCGCTGTGGAAACCACTTGGTGAGAGCCTGTGAAGAGTTTGGGTTCTTCAAGGTGGTAAACCATGGTGTTTCTTTTGACATAATCAGTAGAATTGAAGGTGTAGCAGCCAAGTTCTTCTCTCTTCCATTGTCAGATAAAGAGAGGGCAGGGCCTGCAAATCCTTATGGCTATGGAAACAGGAGAATTGGGCCTAATGGAGATGTTGGGTGGCTTGAATATCTCCTCTCCCAAACTGATCCTGGCTCAATTTCTCAGATATCAAAATCCATTTCCAGAGACAACCCCAACTTCTTCTGGTAATTTACAATGAGCCTCAGCGGATAAATCAAAAAACATGGTCTTTTACGATATGCGAGATAGAGAGAGAGAGAGTTGTTTCTCTGTTCTTACTCTGTTTTTTGTTTTGCAGTGTGGCGGTTAACGATTATGTATCAGCAGTGAGGAAATTGGCTTGTGAGCTTCTGGATTTATTGGCGAAAGAGATGGGAATCGAGCCGAGGAATGCATTTAGTGGGTTCTTAAGAGACGAGAAGAGCGAAAAAGAATCAGTGTTCAGGATGAATCACTATCCTCCATGCCCTGAGCTTCAGTCCTCTTCTTACAACCTGATTGGCTTTGGAGAGCATTCAGACCCACAGATATTCTCAGTCCTCAGATCAAACAGCACATCGGGCCTCCAAATTTGCCTCAAAGATGGAATTTGGGTCGCAGTCCCTTCGGACCCTCACTCTTTCTACATCAATGTGGGCGATTCCCTTGAGGTAACGTCCATACAAAACTTTTTTTGAGTTGTTTTAGTGAGAGAAAGTTGAAAACCATGTGATTTTTTCCTTTGATTTCTGCGACAGTTTTGGTGGTCCCCCAATTTTTTTTTTTTTAAAAAGGGAAAATTTTCCACTGAATTTTCAGTTTTAGGAATTGGATATCAAACATGTCATTGCCGTTTGGGTTTCCAGAGAGAGAGAGGGTTCATAAAAGATGTAATGATTTTTATCACTGAGTTTTTACTTATTTTGCAAAAATGGGAGCAAGGGTTTTGTGTCGAGTTCAAGCACGTTATTGCTTCTAAGCGTAAAGCAAGCGCTTTGTATCAAATTCAAACACGTTTTTAGTTTCTCTCATTGATTTTTGTCATTTATCATGTATTTGGGTTTTTTAAGCTTTTGGGCGACAATACCACAAGGTGTGGATAAATTTTGATTTCTTGAGATCTTTTCGATATTTTTTGTGGAGATTGGAATCCTGATACTCTAGTCAAAATTCACTCATGGAGTCGAAAGAGCAAAGGGATCGTGTGGCTCATAATCAAACACATAGCTCTCGATCTTTATAGAGTCGACACATCACCACTCTCTCTCTATTAACTCTTACTCTAAAGTCGACACGTCGTCTGTATCCTCTCTCTCTCTTGATTGCGATTGCAATTGCATTGCATTGCAGGTTCTGACGAATGGGAAGTTTAGGAGTGTTCGGCACAGGGTTGTGGCGAACAGTCAAAAATCAAGGGTTTCAATGGTTTATTTTGGATCTCCATCATTAAGTGCAAGGGTGGCTCCATTGGCATGTCTCCTCAAGGAAGGAGAGAAAAGGAAGTACAAGGGATTCACTTGGAGTGAATACAAGAAGGCCGCGTATGCATCCAGATTGGCAGATAACAGGCTTGACCTTTTCAAGGCAGATAATAATGAAGAGAGAGAATGAGATCCTTAAAAACTTTCCCGTCCCCTTTATAGCAACCAAACGAGCAAAGAGAATGCAAATCAAGTTTCCCCAAATAGAAAAAAAAAGGTTTACAGATTTTACAGAATATTCATCTCCTTTGCAAGGAGATGAATTGATTGTGTTACCCTCTCCCCCCCCCCCTCCCCTTTCCTCATGCTAATAATGTTCTCTTCCATCCAAAAGCAAAATATTTTAAATTATAATGATTTCTTGTAAGTTGCTCGTAAATGTTCTTCAAATTTGGATTTGTGACGTGAGATCTCATTGGGACGTGTAATAATCTCATCTCGCTTTTTATTGGCATAGAGGAAAGGGATTGAGGTCACGGTGGTAACACATCTTATACCTCAATTGTACGTCGTAGCTTCCATTCTTACTCACCTTTTTAAAAACCACTACAAAATTAAAAAACGGGTAAAGGCTTATCATTTGTATTGAATTATTCAAAAAAACAACTAATTAAATAAAAAATTAGTATAGGCCTATCATCCCCACTGAATTACCTATAAGAAATAAAATCCGTAATCATTATAAGGTTTCTTAGGATGTATTGTTAAGGTACATAATGTTTTGTTTTAAACTTTTGAGAGATCTTAAATTGAAGGGTGCTCCATTTCAGAACACGCTAGTGGATTTTAAAGTGTATCTTGCTGCCCTACTATGTACGTTAATGGTTATTCTTTTCCATTTCTTTTCCATTTATTAATGAAGGGTAAGGGGTCATCTCCTAAGGGGTCATCTACTTACTTACCCAAAAAGAAACTTCTACTTATATAAATCTCCTAGAAATAGGAATCTCATTTAATTTTGAATTAGTAGGGCTGCCAATGGACATGCCTTGCCTGCGGGCTTCCAGGCAGGGCCTGCTAACAGTCGCTAGCGGGCCTCTGGCCAGGCCATTTTGAATATAAGCTGTTATCGGGTAGGGCTGGGTAGGGCTTGATAAGCCCGGAATTTGTCCAGTGGGCTAGGCTATCCCTAGGTAGCCCATCAATGTCTCGTCTGAGCCCAAATAAGGCCTAGTCCGGCCCATTTAACATGCCCACGTATTTTTTATTGAATAAAAGCTTCACTCTTGAAAATTTTAATGTGTATAGTAATGCAAAAAAAAAGCTTCTATACATTTTTCTGGGAACGAAGGGCTCTGCACATATATGAGAGAAAACACATACTCAAATTCTAAAATTTTTTCTTTTGGTGCAGATAGATGAGAAAAAACGAGCGTTTTAAAAAACGCCGAGTCGCCCGGTTCGACTCGGAAATAGTGAAAGGGGACCGGATCGCCTAAAAAATCGGAAATCGTCCGGTTCTAGAGAGAACCGGACGATTCTGTACAGTGAATCGCCGATTCACTGTACGGAATCGGCGAGTCCGAACAGTGAATCGGCAAGTCCGTACGGATTTTTTTTTTTTTGTGTGTAATCC